TTTTCGGTTACCTGTGTCGGTTTTGGGTACGGTTCCTGGAGGGGGGTGGGCACCCACGGGGCCCCCCCAGCTTCTTATTATATTTCCTGATTGCTACTCACGGCTCCCAAGGCCCTTTTAACCCCCCCGAAGGGAAGGGTCTTTCAGCTTACGAGCTGAGGGACATCCGCTCCCGGTGCACGTTAGACCTCATGTCGTGCCGCTACACTCTTTTAGTCGCCGCCGCCGATGCTTTAGTTAGCCCCGTTTACTGCCCTGCCGCTCCCGGCTACACGGCGCCCCCTGCTCGTTTCGACCTGAGTGATGATCGACCCTTCGACCGAGACCTGGGCTAGTTCGTAAGTAAGTATGCACTATCCGGCTTTTACCCCATCCAGCAGTTTTCACTCTCCCCTTTATTATGGGAATTTACGCCCGGCGCAGCCTTCTGCCTAGTCTGCAGTGCCTAAGGGGGAGGGCATGTCTTGTTAAACTACCATCCACAACTTTTAATTAGTTAGATTTCTTCATCGATTCTATCTTAGATTCCGTTACTTTACGTTTAGCTATTCTCTATCGCTAAACAACCCTTCCCCTCCTGGCGAGAATTATTCTTATATTCTTTTTTGCTACTCATGTCAGCATTCTCTATTCAGATTCCCCCATTGTCGCTAAGGCGAGGGAGGCTTGTGTCTCTGATTGTTCCGCTACCACCCCCCCCTGTTATCCGTTGGGCCGGGAGGTGCATACGGAAGGCTCATTGAAGTCTGCCCTTCGCTGCGCGGATTCCGTATGCCCCTCTCGGGGCCCGCTGGCAAGGTTGGGTTGGTCCACCTCGGTATCTGACTTAGACCCCTTACATTTTCTATCTTTTCTTCAATTGACCCTTGAGCTGTTACGCTTTCTTTCTTAGATGGCCGCCTCCGCTTCGTCTTTCCTTCGACTTAGACTATCTCTTTAATTCCTAACCTTTACCCTTCGCCCCACTTCTTATTTCATTACATTGTTTTAAATATTCTTCTTTTGTCAATCTTCTTCGTTTACCCTCCTTATTCATATTATAAGCTAAATCTACTATTGTTTTTAATCCCTCCTCAGTCTTATGTAATTTATCTTGAATCATTAAAGCTAGGCAATCTTAAATATATTATAATGCTCTTGCTTAGTTGTATGTAATTTATATTTATCCATAAAAGGTATTAAGTTACCCATTATTTGACCTCTATTGTCAATTTGGTATCTTATCTCAGTTGAACCCCGAAGGGGCAAGGATCTTATTTTTATTACC